ACACATCTGAAAACTGCCAAGATTGAGAAACACTGCACTAGATCTTTTAGGGAAACTGCAGTATGTTCCATAAAAGGTTGAACACCACCAACCTGGATATAGATTAACAGCACCTCTGTCTTCGCTGGATTGAACTTCAGTTTATTGGTCCTCATCTAATCCATTGTCAGGCAGGCACCGATGAAGCATTTCCGCTGCTTCACTGGACTGGATGAAAAGGAAACACAGAGCTTCCTCTCATTATCTCATACTGATGACATTTGTCTCTAATATCGGGGTGATCTCACTCAGCGTTCAATTGGGTGGGAGATACATTGAGGCCCTGCAGAACCCAACCATGTAAACATAATAAAATCCAGCAGAAATCCCTCTGCTCAAGAGATGGCCATTGAGATGAGAGCAGAACCATTGCAGAGGTGTTAATCCTTCAGATTAAAAGCTGGTAAGGATCCCAGGATCACCTCACTCCAGGAGCTCTAAACAGTCAGTGAAACAGCATGTGCTTGAGGAACAAGGGTGAGCAACCTGTTCCGTAGCTTGTTATTAATACATAAACAGCTCAGACCTCTTGTAAGAATCACCCATCGCTCCAAGGCATCCTGCCGGGTGGGAAAAAAAGAGATAGTAAAGCATGAGACAAAAAGGAGAAAATAGGGGTGGGACCCCCTTGACTCTTCTCCCAGCTTCTGCCTACATGTGGCCCCCTTGCACATTTCTAGCAAGGAAGTGAGCCCACTGGCAGGAAAGAGTTTTGCATCACGATACAGACGATAGGACCTTAATTTTTTCCCATGTACTAAACTGGAAAAAAAAAAACCACCACCTTTATTCCATTGTTGGTTTCAGATTTTAAACAAAACTACAGTACTGTATAAGCAAACAGCATTCCTTGAAAGAATTAAATAAAACTCTGATATGTTAGCTCTAGTATGAAACATTATTACAGTGTATATAATGGAATACAGTGTAACAAAAACATAGGAAAATTTTTGTTACATGAGTATTTTTGCCATTGGTTGTCCACCTAGTTACAGATAACTGCTTGCAATTCTGTTTACCCAGTGATTTTTACAACCTAGTATACTAGTATGACGTGAAAGATGATGAAATCTAATATTTGCAGTTCCAATAGACATGGACAACATGTTTTGTACCATGTTTCTTACAAAAAAAAGAAATCAAGTTTATGCTCACAGAGCAATATCTGCAAACTTAGTAATACCAGGCAGACTAACTTAATAGACGTCACAATGGACATAGCAATAACTCTGAACAATCTTTCCTTATTCTTAAATTAGAATAAGAAACCAGAGTTAAGCTTTGCTGAAATAACAGAATGCACTTTAGTTCTATCGTAACATAACAGAACCAGTTCAGCTGACTTGCTGAAGTAGTACAGCATGTAACCACAGTAGCTGTGTTACATATACAGGTAGTTAGTAGCAAACTGCATCCTCTAGTGCAGTGTTTCTCAACCTTGGCAACTTGAAGATGTGTGGACTTCAACTCCCAGAATTCCCCAGTGAGCCATGCTGGCTGGGGAATTCTGGGAGTTGAAGTCCACACATTTTCAAGCTTCCAAGGTTGAGCAACATTGTTCTAGTGTTACATAATGGTTGTACACTGATGGAAGCACAGTGGAAATGTAAATATTTGTACTGAAAACCAAGACAGGACACAGAAATCCCCTTGAAAGTCTTGTGCCGTGGCTTTGTTAAGATTTACCCAACACCTTATCATTACTGGTTGATGTGCTTGTGGAGCCCCGTGGCTAGTTAACAAGGGCACTAGAACAGTAGAGAACCACTCCGTGGTCTCAGTGGCTGCCTCCGATTGATACAACAACCCTGTTGCTTATAATTCTGAGAAATCTTGACTTGCAAAATTGATGCACGACCTGCTGGCTGGAGGAGCTGTGTGAGGAGAGAGAAATGTGAGACCAAAGGGCAGGAAGGGGAAAGTGGAGGACAGGTGGTCATCCTATCAAGGCAAGGATGGTGGAAGTGAGCAAGTGTATGTCAATTGCTCACATTCCACTACCAGCCAGCTAAGGGACACACACACACACAGATCGGTAAACGATGCTCTCAAGATACCCATTATCAGAGTAGCTTTCCTCAAACGGCCATAGACCAGACAGGATTATGAGCATGTACAGAGCTGACAGAAATACTCCAACGAAGGAGAAAAATGCACAGAATCTCCAAAACTGATGGCCTCCCGCTACTCTTGGGCTGATGCTAAACTCCCCATAGTTTGCAGCATCCCAGTCATGTGGAAGCCTTTAACCTGTGTTCGATTGGGCAAAAGCCTATTGTTTGCTCTTTTTTCTGGTGTAACACCTGAATAAGAGGAATAACATCATATAACCCCATCATCTTGAATTGTAGATAGTCTTTTTATATATAATTATTTTTTTAGCTAATTTGATATGGATATTAATATTTTTACTGTTTTTAATGGTTGGATTTTAATTGTGAGCTGTCCAGAGTCACCCCCTCAGGGAGATGGGCAGCATATACATTTAATCAATCAATCAATAAGAGTCATCCTACCACCTAAATACTCTCCATGTGTAAAATCATCACTCTATTTTTTTGCATTTAATTGCCCTCATTGGTAATGATTCTGATCCAGGCAATACATATGCTTGTAACTCAGGATAACCCAGTTGAGGAAATCCATAGAAGCTTAGAGAATAATAAGGTTGTTTTAAAGGCATCACCTGATTTTATTAAACAGCTGCCACATTCATAAAAAGCTAGCAAAAGAAATCTCTATATGGTCCCTAGGTTGCCTTTATGATAGCTGAATTTGAAGTCCACATATCTTAAAGGAGTCAAGATCTGTCTTGATACTGGTCTGTCATATCAGGAGGTGCCAAAATCAGAAGCCTAGGGAAATACAGGTACTCCTCAGTTAACGACAGTAATTGGGACCGCAATTTCCATCGCTAAGTGATGTGGTCATAAAGCATGATGTCACGTGACAGTGCCACTTAGCAACAGCAATCCCAGCACTCACCATTGCTGTCATTAAGCGAAGATTGCGGGTCAATAAGCAAGTCCCAGGAGGTTGACAAGCAGCCCAGCAGGCAGGTAAGTGGCTACTGCCGAGTGAGGGAGGGCATGAGCCACTTACCAGAGTGACTTGCAACCTTCCCTACCAGCTCCCCCATTGATTTTGCTTGTGGGAAGCCAGCAGGGAAGGTCCCAAATGGCGACCACATGACTCGGGGATGCTGCAACCGTCATAAGTGTGAGCCAGTTGCTAAGCATCTGAATTGCAATCATGTGACCCGAGGGTTGCTACGACAGCCGGAACTTCAAGGATCTGTCTTACATACATGCCACTTGTTCGGCGCAGGAACTTTAAACGGTTGAACGAGTAGTTGTTAAATGGAGACTACCTGTACTTTTAAAGAATCACAACTGGCCAATACAAAACTGGATGATTCCTCCCTGATCCAGCCAGTCCTTCCTTTGAGTCAGTCTCATTCCTCTAGTTTAGTTAAGTCTTTAGGATCAAGGCCAGCTTTTGGTTACAGGTAGTCCTCGTTTAGCCACCACAATGGGGACCAGCAATTCTGTCCTTAAGCAAAGCTGTAACTAAGTGAAACCACAACTGTGCTTACTATCTTACTTCAGCTTTCCTTTGCTTTACAGAGGAAATAAACCTGAAGATCAGTCACAAAGTTACCTTTTCATCACCTTGGTAACTGTGAATGGTCGCTGTCCGAGGCAGTCACTAAACGTAGACTAACTATATTGAATTTGCATAGTGGTGTGTTGTGCCTCTATGGCATTTTGGATTCCCCCAGCCCTAAAATCTCCCCCAAATACAACGAATCATTGCGTGAGGCTGATTTCCAAGGACACGCAAAACGTACTTGCTTTATTTTACACAATGCATTGTTTGCCCCCCATCCTTCTTCCCCTCTCGCTCTTGTACAGCCCCGTTGGTGGACCGTGTTGCCCAGGAACACACGATCCGACCCAAGAAAGGCCCCGTAAGAAGGCCCTCGAGGGACAAAAAGAATTAAGGGTTACGGCTACGCGCCCAGAGGGGCGCAACACGAGCCACCCCAGCGCAGCCGGAACCGACGGCGACGAGCAACGCCGACCGGGAAACAGGCGACGCGGCATCGATCGAAGGGGGCGGGGTCACGTGACCGCGACCTCCGCAGCACAAGCCCTCTCCCTCCCACCGCTTTTTTCTAATTTCAAACCCCGCTTCGTCACGTGACTCCGTTTGTTGTTGTTGCGGTGCTACGCTGGGCTACTGCCCGCGTGGGCGTCGGCCGGGTCACGTGCTGCGTTTAAATCTCTTCCTGAGGTGGGGGTGGGGGCCGCTTCTTCTATCTGCGGCGCCACTATGAGCGGCCGCCGCGACTGACGGGGGGGGAGACGGGAGGAGGGGGAGGGAGCAGTTGCTCCTGCTCAAAGATGGCGGACGAGGAGATGCCACTCCTCCACTCCCGGAGC